AACCAGCGCTGCAGCTTGCGGGGAGAGCGGGCGACAGAGCGGCTGATGACCGGATGCTAGTGAGACGCCGCACGTCATGAGACGAGACGCAGCGGGAGAGAAATAATACACCGCGAGCGAGCAGTGAAGATGTCGCGGTGAAGGGCATGCGTGCTGAGGAGATGCGGATGCGGGCGTGTGTGGGGTGTGGGCTGCAGACTGACCTGACTGGAGAAGACTGTGGGAGGGCGCAGGCGCGGCTGCACGAGCTCGGAGTGAGGGGGACATTGCAAGCCTGACATGCGTTCGCTCGCGTGAAGGCGGGCGGCGGGAGCGCGAGCGTTGAGAGATCTGTGAGGCGCGGTCGTCAGATGCAGCGTCCGCGGCAGAACGAAAGCGTCGAGGGCGCGCGGTCGGGACACAACAGCGCGACGTACCGTACACCAGCTGTTTGCGCACAGTTTTGACCAGACAACGACGGGACACGCGCGCATCCGCAGCGCGCGACGAGGGACCAGCTAGCCGGGCGAAGAGTGAATGCGAGGCTGGGTCCATGGACGCCTAGTCGGTAAGATCCAAAGATGAGAGCTGAGAGTGGGCGCGCAGAGAGACGGGTGCGCACACAAGAGCGGGTGAGGCCGGTAAGGTTCGCGCAGCACAGAGACGGCGCGAGCGCGCGAACAGGCACGGGCGGCCATACAGCGCGTCGATGAAGCGTTCCTGCGTCGCACAGGCCAGCGGGTGAGCGGGTTCGGCGGTACACCTCGGCGGCGGCGTCACAGCCAGCGGGGGAGGCGGGAAGCGCGTGAGGCGGGAAGCGCGTAGGGCGAGCGACGCACCCGTACAAGTACGTGAACGTGTGCGTCCACGGCTGCTCGACGTCCCGCGCGCTGACCTACCGCACCTGCACGCCGCCCTTTGCACGCGCCGAGAACCACAACGTGTGCTCACCTAGCCGTGCGAGTCCGGGGCCGCTTGATCAACCTGGCCCGCGGCCCGTCAGAGGAGCCGTGTGTGGACGCAGCGTGGACACTCACAGCATCGGCGGCAGGTCGTCCAGCGATGCGTTCCCCGCCCGGCGTCAGCGCGGCTACGTCCTTGGCCCCGCGCAAGCCTCGGCCGCGTGCAAGAGGTCGGGACGCACCAGTTGCCGGGGAGCTCGACGGGCTCTGCGGGCGTCCCGCGCACGGGCGGCTTCATCCAGATGTGCGCCTGCGCGCTGCACTTGATCTTTGTACCTGCGACCGGGTCGCGCAAGCCGTGCGCCTGCGAGTAGTGCGGCGCGTGCGTGCGTGAGGGCGCGGAAGCGAAGAGAGGACGGGGAGAGGCGCACGTGCGAGGTCAGCGGGCAGGAAGCGGGCGCGGAGGACGTGCGCGGCGCACCGTACGCGAACGCAGCCAAAGCCTGAGAGGAGCCATTACATAGCGTGAGCGTGAGGGGACTGCGGAATGGTGCAGTCAATGACCTGTAGGTGAGAGGCGGCGCCGTGCCATTCGAGCTCAGGTGTCTGCGTAAGCGCGATCGACGACCGGACGCCGGTGCGCCGGTGGGTGACAGCACGCTGTGAGACGGGACGCACGCCGCGAGGGAGAGAGCAGCGAGCAGTGACGTCGATCGAGGCGACGCTGATCGAGGCAAGGCGCGAAGTAGCACTGCGCTCGGATGAGCTCGGTGCCTAGGCGATCGCACGACATCTGCTCATTCGCGTCGAGTCCGTGTCAGCGTCCTGTAACCTGGCGCCAGCGTTGCGTTCGGTAGCCTGGCGCAGACATCCTCGTGCTGTAGACCAAGGAGGACCCTGGAGGACCCCGGTATGACCACAGATGATGCGGAGATCTGATCTGTCACTATCCATCTGCTAAGTATAAGAGCACCGCTGCAATCATCTCCCCTCCTTCACCGCCCCTTCTCGCCGCGCAACCATCCAACTACTGGCTGACAACAACAATGGCCTCCGCTATCCCGCCAACACCTCTCTCGCCCAGCGTCGGCGCACGTCGCAAGGGCGCAAAGGCACTGCCTCGTCTGCCGCTCTCCGCATTTACCCCACCCAACACCGGATCGTCCGAGGCATTCCCGCTGCCCCCCAGCCCAAGCACACTGCAGCCAGAAGAGCTTGTCGACGCGTACGTGATCGCCCCGGATGGCGACTTGAGCGAGTGGAGGGCGCAAGCGGGCGAGACCCTGCGCCGCAAGACCAAGGGCGTCGTGCTGGCTCTGCCCCAAAAGGAGCCGGCCGAAGTCGAGAAGATCCTGGCAAAGTACGTCGTCCCCGATGCCTATACCCGCCGATCAACTTGTTCGTGCCGTCCTGATCATCTGCCCATAGGATTCGATCAGGATCACTCGATGTTCCTGTTGTAGCTGTGCTCGTTCCCGTCATTCCCGCGGAGGGCGAGGCGACGTTCACGCCCCCTGCCTACCTCGAGTCGCCTGGCAGCTCGACGCCTGCGCTCGTCCCCTCTGCCATCTTCACGAAGAACGAGCCGCGGGTCCGGGAGGCACTGCAATGGGCGCTGAAGACTGGACACACTGTCCACATAGATGTCCAATGCGATATACGCGAGGTCGAGGGTGGCTGGGACGCACTGGAAGAGATGCTGACGAGCATGACCATCTCCAAGGACGTCAAGGAGCTCCATGGAAAGATTGTCGTGTGTACGTATTCGCGTGTTCTGTGCTGACATCCGCTT